AAAAAAGAGGTTGGATTAATTGCCCCGTGTTAATTATGATAACGCCTGGTCAAAATTCCCAGGAAGATTTTCCAAGCAACCAGACAGACAATTTGAATTGCGTTGTTATGAGGGAGCAAGATAAGATGTTGGAGGCGAATTTTCCGGGACGGGATTAATGCATCGGAGAAGGAGAAATGTGTTGGAGGGAGAGGTAAGTGCGCTCTATCAGCAAATTTTGAAAAATTTCAAAAGCTCATGAACAATTTTCAGGGTGGATGGACATGGTAGACTGGCAGCAAAAGGGTGTCCCTGGCAATGTTCAAATGGGCAAATGGAAGAGTTTTGTTGGTTCATGCACTCACTCAATTTGACATTTGGAATCAATCGATGGCAGGATGTGCAGAAGATTGAGAAGGAGTAAGTTTGCGCCTTTAAAGCTTGGGGCATGCAAACGCGCTCCAATAGAGCTTGCATTTTCGTTGAAGCGCGTTTGCAAACCCTTTGATTTCAGAAACGAACGCGGCCGGTACTTTGCCGCTGCGGAGGCCCGCAACAACTTTGTCGCGGCGGCCCAAAATGTCCAATCCTGTCGGATGTACCTAAACAAAGTGGATTTCCCATACGGGACCGAGAAGGAGATCGCACATATGGAGGATACGGTTAACAAGGCATTCCGGACGGTGGATAATGACTCCGAGATGAAAAAGGTAGGTTGGGGTGTGTGAGAGCGCAGACGCCTAGACATTCTCGTTTCTCTGCGTCTCTCTTCAGTTGCCGTTGTAGCCAGAAACTCGATTAGACCCAAAACTTTGAAATCGTTCCAGGCCCTCAAAGTATTCCAAGAAACGCAACAAAAAGTGGCATCCTTGATCCAATGGTTCGACAAAGTGATCAACGACACGATTCGAAAAGATTTGGACCAGGCCAACAATGAATTGATCAAAAAACAGAAGGCGTTGAGGGAAGAGAGATTGACTCTTATGAAGAAATTGGTTAGTACTCTTGCAGGGCTTGTAGAAGATTCTGCAGCTTTTGAAATCGATATTTTGGCTTCTAAAGGGTCCTCAGAAAAAGAAAAACATATTTGACCCCAGTGGGGATTGAACCGAGGGGTCTAACTTGGAAGTCAGGAGCGTTAACCACTAGGCCACCGCGGTGATGGGAGAGGAGAAGGAGGCGGCAGCGGCGGCGGCGGTGGCGCGCTTCTAGAGGAGGCACCATGGCCTAGCTGTTAACGCTCCTGAGTTCCGGTTTTCACCTCCCGGGTTCAACCCCCACTGGGGTCAAATCTTTTTTGCTTTTTCCTAGGAGCTCCCGGCTCCCACAAAATCGATCCTGAACCTTTTTTCAGGCCAAAGCCCAACTCGATGTGGACATGAAAATCGACTATGATGACGTGGCGGACGATGAGCTCGAACGGGAGCTCAAAGACCTCGAGCGACAGGCTCTTCGGGATGTGGAGAAGCTCAAGGAGGCGGACGTTCAAGGGATTTTGGATCTGAGCAAGCAAGGTGGAAATGTGGTCACCCCGCTGAATAAACTGGCTCCACTGCCTTCGAAAGATGCACTTTTTGGGGATGTCAAACAGAAATTGGATGAGTACGATGAGACGAGAAAACAGTTTGAGAGAAGGAATAATTTGCAGAGGGAGAAGCAGGCGATGGCGTTGCAGGTAGGCCTAGGGAGAGAGAGAGAGACGGCAGAGAAAGAGACTGTCTCTTTCTCTGGGGTCTCTCAATCTATGAATTTTTTCCAGGAAAAACTGAAACTCCGTCAACAAAAAAATCGCCGAAACCGGAAAGAACGGAGGGACAGTATTGGAGCACCGCCAGTGGAGCCGACGCCTAAGGCTGGGAAGAAAAAGAGTGCTCATCATTAACTCCCTCTCTTTGTTTTGTGATTTTGGGTTTTCTTGTGAATAAAATTATACTTGGGAGCTTGTAAAAATTTTTATGAACATTATTCGATTTCAAAAAATATTAAAAAATAAATAGAGAAGTTGACTCGGTTTGTAAATTGGATCTTCCACACTTCCTGAAATTATGGAATTAATTACGAAATTGCACTTGATGCGTATAAGTCATTGGGGTCCGTTATATTTCGGAATGGTTGAAAATTAGTATTGAAATTTTTAAATTTTTAGACTCGATTTCAATCGATTTTCTGGAAAATTTTGGAAAAATTTTTTTCGGTCAAATTTTTTTTTCTAACAAAATATTAAGATCATTTTGTTCCAATTTTCCAGAAAATCAATTAAAAACTAGAAAAAAAAATGAAAATTTCACGCATAATTTACAGCGGTTTCGAAATGTCGCGGAGCCATAGTTCGTACTAAAATACTAATCATGTTTAAAATAAGAGGGATCCGGAAGATTTGGTGAGTCTAGGAATTATCAACACTCTTCCAATGGCAAAAATTTACTTTCAATCCCTTTTTTTTCAAAATTTTTTCAAATTTCACGAAAAGAGATTAAAATTGATGTACGTTACAAAATAACTCACAGTCGATTCACGACCGCTTCACAACAAAGTCGGTATCCCCATTCCATGCTTGAGGTGAAGGGGACGAACGTTGGACAGCCGATTATTCCGGTGAATTTCACTTTTTCTCCCAGTTGCAATAAGCCTCGCTAAAAATCATTTATTTTTATTCAATGATTTCTCAAAAAAAAAAAGACCATTTACATTGAAAAAAACTCACCTTCATGGCAGTCGCATTGTACCTGGTTGTAGCAATTGCGTCCGATCTTGACTCTCAACAAGTAGGATCATCGCCACATTTTCCACCGCATAGACTTCCAGCAACTAGTTCGCAATCCTAAATCAGATTTTAAAAAAATAAAATCTAGGCAAAGAAAAAGATGACTTACATAACACATAGTCAACGACCAAGCATATTATTCTCATTTTAGAGAGAATCAAAATTTACAACAACAAAAAATATTTAAAATTCAGAATAATCAATAAAATAAGTAGACCAATCCATCGGGAAGTCAGTTGAAAAGGTAATAGTCGGAATTAGAGAAATTCAGCATAATCAATAAAATACGTAGACCAATCAATCGGAAAGTCAGTTGAAAAAGAATGATTATTCTTACGATTTCTCTTGCTTATATACACATCCTCTAGTCGTATAGAGCCCGATGAAACATATGTTTTCAAAGCTGCCAGAAAAAATGAATCATCATCTTTTTTTGACGATACTACATTGTGATTCAACATCTTTACTTTTTTGTTTTCCTCATCTTCACCGAAATCGTCCGGCCCTGCAACTTTTTTGTCCAAAGCTGTATTTTTTGAGATTTTCCAAATTTCAGCTGCCCCAGATTTCCCAAGTTTGGGGATTATGATCCCAATTCACTGGGGTATACTAGAAACCGCTTCGGGGTTCTGATCAAGCTTCGGTGTTACGATCAGACCTCCCAGATATTTTGAGAAAAGTAGGCTTCAAAGAATGTAAAAATTTTGGAGTACTGAAATTTTAAAGGTGGCCGGACAGGAAAGCCTCGTGGTGCAGAAAGTAGTGCAAATACGCAATTTGTCGTAAGATGTGGTACATGCAGAAATTTGCCATTTTACCATATTTTGGAATAAGACAAAAATTGTTGCCATCTGCGGGGTCGAACTTACACGCCACACCAGTTTGGTGCCACGCGTACTGCGCCACACGAGCAAAACCGAAACATGCATGATTTTGCCTATATAAATGCAGCTGTTTCGAATCTTTGAGCAGACGCTAGATGACCTCATTTAGAGTTGAGATTTGAGTTAAGTGAACTTTGTTCTTCAATTTCAGCAGTCACTATTTTTTCCTGTCCGGCCACCTTTAAAAACTATTTTTTTAACTCCCGAGATTTTTTTTTTACTTTGGACACGACATAAAAAACATGATTCTATATCATTTATGTTTCGTTGAATATAGTTTCGTTAAACATATTAACTATTTAAAGCAGCAAATCCTCTTTCCTGCTTGCAGTGTAGATCCGAAGACGAATTTTGGACAGTCGTTTCTTTCGAATATGATGCGTTCTCCGATTTGAATTCCGAAGTAGCGCTGAAAATTAGTTATTTTCAATGATCTCTTTTTTTTCAAACTTTTTGTTGTTGTTCTTGATAATAGACTAAAATTCATGTACATTAGAAAAGAACTCACCTGCAGGACTCTAACTTCGTTGTCCAAATTCATTTTATTCAATGATTCACTTAATAAAAACAATTAAGTTCAAATCGACGTCATGATCAGGCAGCATATACGCGTTCCCCAGTCGATACCTCCTGGAAATTGTTTTTTTTAAATGTTACTCAAAATAGTTGAGGGGAACTAGGAAGATTTGGTGAGTCTATTAACACTCTTCCAGTGGCAAAAACATATTACTTTTTTTCAAACTTTATTCAAAATTCCCAAAAAATAGACTAAAATTCATGCACATTAAAAAATAAACTCACTAAAAAAATTTCCTTATCGAGGTCTTCTTGGCTGTAGACATTGAGACCGACTTCCATCATTTTTTTTGGCTTGTCCGTGACACAGCGATCCGGTACCAAGGGTGGGGCTGGCTAGAGAACGAGCAAGAATTTTATTCTCATTTCATCCTTCCGATTTTCATTTTTTATTCTGGTGAGAGAAGGCAGTCCTAAACCAGAATTTTTTAAATTAAAATCTAGGCAAATCAAAAGCTGACTTACATAATAAAAAGTCCAAGTGGGACTGCACGTCGCAAGACAGCGGATGATAAAGAAGATGAGAATCAAAACTTACAACAAAAAAAATATTTAAAATTGAGAATAATCAATAAAATACGTAGACCAATCCAGCAAGGAAGTCAGTTGAAAAAGTAATAGTCGAAATTAGAGAAATTCAGAATAATCAATAAAATAAGTAGACCAATCCATCGGAAAGTCAGTTGAAAAAGAATGGTTATTCTTACGATTTCTCTTGTTTATATACATCCTCTCGTCGTATAGAGCTCGATGAAACATTTGTTTTCAAATCCGACAGGAAAAATGAATCATCATCTTTTTTGACGATACTATATGTTGGTGATTCAACATCTTTACTTTTTTGTTGTCTTTGATTAAAAGGAAATTCAAATTTCCAAGAAATTTTAGCGGGAAATCAATATTTCAAAAATTTTGATGGGAATTCGAAATTCCAAAAATTTTGGCGGGAAGTCAAAATTTCAAGAAATTTTGGCAAAATTTGAAATTTTCAGAAATTTTGGCGGGATTCCAAATTTTCAATTCTAGTCTTCTCTCTATTCTTGCAATCCTGGGTTATCTTGTGAGATTTTTTATTCTTTATTTAGAAAAAAATCCTTTTTCGAAAAATTGACAAGTAATAAAATGCATTAATTGAGATGACATTCCACGTTTCCTCATCCTAAAAATCCTCGAAATTCAGCCCTGAAACTTCTCCCTTCCCAAAATTTCGTTGGTAATAAAACTGGAGAATTTCTCGTCTTTGAGTTTCTGAGCACCATTTTTCCCATTTTCAAGGAAGGCAAGAACAAGCTCAATAGCGGCCTGGATGCAGATGGTGGAGTCCGTGGAGCCCTGGAAAATCGATATTTTAACCTTGAAGGCGCACGGTGAGCTTCGGAAAAAAAGCAAAAAAGATTTGACCCCAGTGGGGGTTGAACCCAGGAGGTCAAAATTGAAAGTCAAGAGCGTTAACCACTAGGCCACCCATCAGAGGGGATCTTCCTCCCTGTTTTCTTTCCGACGGGCGCCGCCACGTATAAGCCTTCCTTCCCCTCTACTGAGTGTCGTGCGGTGGCCTAGTGGCTAACGCGCCTGTTTTCCATTTTTGACACCCGGGTTCAACCCCCACCGGGGTCAAACCTTTTTTGCTTTTTCTTAAGAGCTCCCGGTTCTCAAGAAATTGACCCTGAGCCATAACGACGCGCATTTGACCTACCTGAACACCAAACTGCCGCGCCAACCACGGGGGAAAAATGAACGGGAAATCGGAGAAGATTTGATGAACGCCTCCATTAATCGTCAACAGCAGATTCCCGTCGTTATTCGGAAGCACTTTTCTCATCACTTCCAAATTTTCCTTCCACTGCCAATCTCCAATATTCAGGAATAAAGTGGGTCGGAGAGCCAATTCTTGTTGCTCAGGGTTCAATGGAAACATCCAGCCATCCAGTACTATGGATTTCTGGAAAAAATCCGCAATTTGGCGTAACGGTGTCGGGGTGCGGTGTTTGCGGACTCGGCATCATATCTTACGACAATTCAGAGACGCAGAGAAACGATACTGTCTAGGCGTCTGCGCTCTCTTCTAGGAATAGTCTTCAGGTATGATGCCGAGTCCGCGAACACGCTCACGACGAATTGCGGACCTATTACCTGAAAATACGAAGCAGCCGCCAGTGAAGTGGCCCCACCGAACGAGTGACCAACAATAGCCACCGTGAAAAAATCGAGCCGCCCATCGAACTGCCGCCAATTGAAGTCCTCTCGGAGAAGAATATTCTCTGGGGCCTGCCCTCCAGAATTCAGATGCTCCAGGATTCGGAGAGCACTAACACATTCCGCGACTCGTTTTTCTACTTGCTCATTACGGATTTTGAATTCCTGGGGGTGCCCTTTTTCTATGAGTTTTATTTTTATTGGGTCTTCTGACTGGTTGGTGAGGGTGTAGGTCCAACAAGCGGAGTGGTCTCTGGAAGAGGGAGAGAGTGAGAGAGACGGCAGAGAAAGAGTGTGTCTGTTTCTCTGGCGTCTCTCACTCTCTCTTCAACTTGAAGGAGAGAGAGAGAGTAAAAGAGAGGGTGAGAGAGGAAGAGAGAGAGAGAGAAGGAGAGAGAGAGAGAGAGAGAGAGAGAGAGAGAGAGAAGAAGAGAGAGGAAAAGAGAGAGGAAGAGAGCGAGAGAGAGAGAGAGAGAGAGAGAGAGAGAGAGAAACGTGCCAAAGAGACGGCAGAGAAAAAGGCACTCTTTTTCTCTGACGTCTCTCACTCTCTCGTCTCTCCAAGTTCAAAGGCGCATAACTCGCTCCAGACTGGTCATTTTGAGATGGTTTTTGAACAGAATTCCAGATACCTGTGCTCCAAAGCCACCACCACATATCCATGAGAAGCTAAAGAGGTGCAAAGTGTCGAGTAGAAAGTTCTGGAGCCACCCAGTCCGTGAGAAAATACAATCACTGGAAATTTGTCTTGTTTCATGGAGAGTGCAGCGTTTTCGATGCAGTCTTGTCTGGAAAAATAGTCTGGGGTGGTATGCTGGTGCGCTCCATGGAGAATGTGGGCGGAGCTTACCGTTTATCTCCCACCACCGTCGCCGCTATCAAATCCATCTTCTGTGGGGACTGCCCCAGATACTCGCCGAGCCCATGGGCGTATTCTGATCTTGGGAGCCATAATGGATAGGAGGAGATGTCGGTGACCTGGAAATCGTGAAGATGCGCGAAAAATTCATTGAAAACGGGCGATTTTGAGCTGATTTAGGCCAATTTACCCCAAATTTTCCTTTTTCCACTCGAGACCCAACTAAAACTCAAAATTTCCCATTTTCATTTCCACCATTCGATTCAGCTCGTCGAGAGGGTTCAAATGAGTATAATCATGACTAGGCTCCGCCCATTTTGAAAATTTGACCTACCCATGCGCCTTTAAGGTCAAAAATAAAAGTTGCTCAGAATATTTTCGTGGTTATACTCATTCGAACCGTCTCGACGAGCTGATTCTGAATATATATTTTGCGTTAAGATCCCATGGAAAATGGGCAAAATACGGTAGATTTTATGCTTTCGTGGTGGGACCCATGCGCCTTTAAAGTAAACTCACCTCAGAATCCGTCGGATAATAAATCCTCATAAAAATCCCTTGACCTTCGGAGGTGCCCCCTGTCATCAGGTCCTTGCAGCCAACACGAAATTGACCCGGAACTTTTCGAGTCAAAATTTGGGGAGACGAGATTAGACCGCCCATTTTTACGAGAAAATTCGAAATTCAAAATTTTTTGCGAAAATTAGAATTCAGATTTTTTGCCGCTCTGGGAATCTAGATCTTTCGTTTGGGGGTTTTTAAATGACGTGAAAAACCGAAAGACTTTTTGGAATTTTCGGAAAATTTTGCTTTTAGGGTCTCACCACGAAAACCTACCATATCTCCGTCAATTTTTGTCGGACCCGGACAAAAAGTATAACGTTAGAATCAGCTCGTTAAACCGGTTGGAATGAGTATAGTCATGACTATGTTCTGAGCAACTTTCTAATTTTGGGTCCCGCCACGAAAGCATAATTTCTACCGTATCTCGCCCATTTTCCATCGGATCCTAACGAAAAATAAATCATCAGAATCAGTTCATTGAACCGGTTCGAACGAGTATAATCATGGCTATATTCTGAGCAATTCTATTTTTCACCTTAAAGGCGCATGGGTAGGTCAAATTTCAAAATGGGCGGAGCCTAGTCATGATTATACTCATTCGAACCGTCTTAACGAGCTGAATCGGATGGTGGGAATGAAAATGAGAACATTTGAGTTTTTGTTGGGTCTCGAAGGGAAAATCTGGGGGGGGGGGGGACCTGGAAATTGACCTCAAACAGCCTAGAATCGACCGTTTTTGATGATTTTCGATTCGAAAAACGTGGAATTTTCAGAGCTCTTATCCCATGGAATAAAAAAAATTTATTTACAAAAAAAACGAAAACAAATCAATAAACCTGCACATCCTTATGTGTGACAATAGCAGAAATACTATTCAACGAAATATTATTATTGTAATCACCGGAATTTAAAGGGAGGATACTATCCTTTCGTTCTTCTACAAAACAATACCAAACTGAAAAAATATATGAAGTAATAATAAAGAGAAAGTAGAGAAAGAAGGAGAAGAACACCGGAGGGCGGAAGCCATTGCTCTTGAGAAGAACGCCGAGGGGCTGAAAAAATCAATATTTCAATTTCGTATGGTCACCATTGGATTCAGCTCGTCAAGACGGTTCGAATGAGTATAATCATGACTAGGCTCCGCCTACTTTGAAACTTGACCTACCCATGCGCCTTTAAGGTCTAAAATGGATTTGCTCAGAATATGGTCATGATTATACCCCTTCGAACCGCCTGAATGAGCTGAGTTCAAATTAGGCTGGCCAAAACGGCGTTTTACGGCGACCATTACCATTTTAGAAAACGGCACTGGTCGCCATTGCCGTTTTTCAAACTGGTTTTCCACGTCAGTTTTCCAGTTTTTCAGTGTATTTTCCGAGAAAAAACACTGGCGTGGTCAACCAGTTTGGGAAAAGAAACTGGTTTCGTTTGCCAGTCTAAAAAATACTGGTTTTGAAAACCATTTTACGTGAAATAAACTGGCGCCTTTTCCTGGTTACGGCGACCATTAACAACCCTAGTTCAAATGAGAAGTTTTCATACGAATCCGACAAAAATTGACCGAATTACGTTAGATTTTATGCTTTCGTGGCGGGACCCAAAAAAATTAAAATTGCTCAGATTATAGCCATGGTTATACTCATTCGAACCACCTTAATGAGCTGATTCTGAATATATACTTTTCTTGGGAATGCGACAGAAATTGAGCGAGATACGGTTTTCGGGTCTCATCACGAAAATGAAAAACCTATCGTATCTCATTCATTTTTTATAGAATTGAAGCAAGGAAGATTTATTCAGTATCAGCTCGCTCAGATGGTTCGAATGAGTATAATCATGGATGTGTTCTAAAAATTTTTCATTTTTCGGGTCCCGCCACGAAAGCATAAAATCCACCGTATTTCGCAAAATTTTCGTCGGTGCTTGATCCAAAATATACAGCTAAAATCAGCATAAACAGGCTCAAATGAGTATAATCATGACTATATTCTAACAAATTTCGATTTTTGACCTTAAAGGGGGTGGGAACTCTCATGCGAAGGGGAATTTTAAGGGAAAAAAAGGGCGCAGTCTCTTATAGGCAAGCATGGTCGGTGCGTTTTCTTGGCCGCATAGCGCAGTCGGTAGCGATTCTGGTAATCTGACAGACCGACCCTGGGTTCGAACCCACCAGAGGTACTTATATTTGTAATTTCAGAGAAAATGTTTTTTTGAGTTCCCCCCTCCTTTAAAGGCGCATGGGTAGATCAAATTTTCAAAGTGGGCGGAGCCTAGTCATGGTTATACTTTTTCGAATTGTCTCAACGAGCTGAATCGAATGGTGACAATGGAAATGCGACTTACCGGAAAAACAACCAACAATAGTGCCATAATCAATAAATCCGTCTCATTTTTAGCTCGAAGGGAAGAATTTTGAGCAGTCATTCTATTTTATTTTTTGATGTAAAAAGTTCAAAAAGAAACTGATAGAGTTAAGGCCAAATTCTGATCTTCAATTTCTTACTTGTATTTGTGTTATTTGCCAAACTCTTACTCTATTTGTTTTGTTCGGCGCTTTATTTTCTAGGCAAGCCAAGAGAAAAAAAAAGTTACTTTTGTCAAAAACTTCTCTACGGAGCGCGCTTGCAATACTTAGAAATGTTTTTTTTTTCATTCAAAAAATTCAAGTTTCCGCCAGATCGCAAAAAAATTTTACGGAGCGCGTTTGCATCAAATGTGATGAAGAATAAGATAGATGGAACTTCAATATGGAGCACCGGTAGAATATTCACAAAATTTGACATAAGAAGGGGGCGTGGCCTCTTTTTAAGGAGGGGCGGAGCCAAGAGAAAAGAAATGACAGACAGAA